CTCTTCTACAGAGTAAAAGGCACTGATTTATGAAAATTATTTTCATAGGCTTAGAGACTTTTTGGTTTACTTCCAGGCTCACAGTTAGAAAATACAGGCTACCTTAAATATGACTAAGGGAAATTAGGGTGTTACTGAATTAACTGTTTTAGTCAGGGCTGAAAAATTCTAGCTCTTTGGCCAATTTACTTTATCCACTGCATTCTTCTTAACTGGGACAGACCTTTACAAAGGTCAGCTTTGATGAGCTGCCACTCTGGAAATGGTACGACATACCGTCTCTTTGCCTCTGGCATATTTTAGCTCTTCATTCCACAACTGCTGTTGTTCAGCCTGCAGGTCCTTGGTTAATTTATTAATGGTTTGCTGCAATTCATTTCTTTCATGATTTATTCTCTCAATGTCTGCAACTGAGTACTTCTGGTTATCCACAATATTCTGTAGCCGAGTATTCTCCTGTTTTACTGTTTCACATTCTACTTCTGCAATGGGATAAAAATAAATTTGTTAAGTTTCTTCAATTCCTACAAAGAAATTGATGCCATTATTTAATAGAGTTTACTGGGATGCCTAAATTTCCAAGTTATAAATATATATATTTTCTTCCTCTTTTTTTGGATAATTTTCTTTGATCCCACTTTGTTATTATCATTCTTTAAAGATGATACAGTTAAAGTTTTATGTTAAATCTTTATTTCCCTGTTGGCTTCCTATGAATTTTAGAAAGTGCCACATATGAAAACAAAAACGTGGCCCCAAACATAGTGATTACAATTAAGAATCCCTACACTTAAGAGGAATAGTCTGTCTCTGTCAATGTGCATTTCAAATGCCTTTAATACTCCTGCATGATTCTCTGTAATAAGTCAGACAGACCATAAATTTGTTTTTCACAAACATAAAAGTATTTACATTAAAACACATTAGAGTTCATTCTTTTTTCACTGAGATTTTCAGTGGCTTCATGAGATATTAAGTAACCATAGTGGTTAGGTTCTTGCTTTGTCTATTTCCCAAAATCTGTCATGAAGAATGACTACATTGTACTAAAAGACTATAGTACGTACAAACAATAATGGTTATGCTGAAAAGTAGTTCTTCCACTACCTAATGTTATTCAGAAAAAAACTTCTAGCATTCACGATCCACAGCGGCTTACATTGCCTTCCGGGCTGATGAAGGCTCTCTTAACTCTTCTGTGGGATTCTGCAAACTGAGGAGACTGCTGAAAGTAAGGTGGCAACTAAAACCCGTGTACTTAGAAATCTTGTAATGAAGCTAAACAATTCTTATAATTTATGTCTAAATTTGCAAAAGCTAAATCAGTACAGATAAACTATTATATCTGAGAGTTACATGAAACATTAACCAAATATCTGCAAAAGGGAATAATTACCAAATTTAAAATATCTGGGGTTATATAGAACAGTGCTTTCCAACCTTCTGTGACTCATGGTTCACAAAGAATATGATAGTCTTTTTACAGCAGGCTGGGATGAAAGGATGAGGATGCTCATGACCAAAGGGGTTAAGATAATCGTTCTGAGGGCTGAGGGAATTAACATCTTGGCACTGTTATAACCTACTTGCATCACAGTAGTTGGGAATCTCCAAGTTGGAGCTTAAAATAAATTAATGGTTGGTTGAAGTAATCTTTTATTACAGGAATGTGTAATAAAAAAAAATTCCCATAAAATCCAATATATGTAGAGGTTAAAAATGTGTCACTCATTCTTGGCCACAATGGCTTTAAATAATCAAGAAAGTTAAACTACTTACGGAATAAAAACATCTTAGATTAACAGTTATCAAATGAATGTCTCAAACTAAATCACTCTAGAGTGGCAAACGACTGCAAATTACTTCCTTCAATAAAACCCACTCAGTTTGCTGCTATTGGAAAAAATCCTCACAAGAACAAGTAGGAATTATGATAATACTCTTTATTCAACATCAGTAAGGAAGATAATTAAAGTATTAGCACCAGAAAGTATTGATTTAATTGCATTATAAACACTGCTATAATAAAAAAACTAGTGTAAAGCTCCTTACCATCATGGAGAACAAAGGACCAAATTAGGGGCCAAGTGTAAAATATTTAAAAAGTTGGTTGAGAGCAAATCCAATATACATAAAATCAGGGCTATTTGAAAAAAAATAATAAAGGGACTCAGAAAGACCTTCGATTATTACTAGCCCAGTTTTGACAGACAATCAATACTCCACAGAAAAAGGGTCAAAATCAAATATCCTAAGGACCATCTACATAGCTCCTACATGGGACAGACATAGTGTGTAGAATTCTAAAAGAATAAACATAGAAGTAGGCCAAGACCTGGGACAGCAGTACAGTAGTCCATACTGTTATTTGTCTTTCAACCTACAGACCAATGGCTCTGTGATTATTGATACCTTCTTCTGCCCTCCTTCTGGCACCTTAGAAATGTTAACCAATTGTGTGTGACACATTATTTTTCAGAGTTTTATGATTAAGATCAATACCAGTTTTATGAAAACAAGGTTAGTAAGACAAGTTATAAACAAGCTTTCTTTAGTTGGGCTTTTGCTTCCCAAGAATTGTATAGTACTTGTAGCTTTTCAGCTTATTTTCAATCAGCATAAGCTAAGGAGTTGCTCAGTAGGTAGTGTTGGAGGATATAGCTGACTGAGGCAGGCAGAGATCAAGAACGTGGCTTACTAATTAAAAGGTGGAACAGAATACATATTTATATCCAGGAAGCATATGTTCTAAGTGCTTGACAACATGTTAGAAGGCGTGGTAGGATGAATAATGAATAGCCATCCAAAGATATCAAGTCCTAATGACCGGAACTTGTAACTATTACTTTATTTGGAAACAGGCTCTTTGTAGATGTGATTAAGTTAAGGATCCTGAGATGAGATTACCCTGGATCATCTGGGTGGGCCCTAAATGCCATCCAAATTATCCTAAAAGATAGAGGCAGAGGGAGATTTCACATAGATAGGAGAGACAGATACACAGAGAAGGCAATGTGAAAATGGAGACAGACATTGGAGTGAGGTGGCCACAAGCCCGGGAATGCCATCAGCCACCAGAAGGTGGAAGAGGCAAGGAAGAGACTCCCCTCTAGAGCCCCCAGGGGGAGTATGGTCTTGCTGGATTTCAGATTTCTAGCTTCCAGAACTGTGAGAGAATAAATCTGTTGTTTTAAGCCATCAAGTTTGAGGCAATTTGTTACAGACGCCACAGGAAACCAATATAGAAGACAATGAAAATACGGGAGCCTGAGGGAAAAAGGGTATGGATAATAAACCTGACTCTATATGTGATAAATCCCCCACACGTCACATCCCAGTCTGAACGATCTTCTAGCATTAGATGTGCTTACCTATTCTAGCAATATCTTCATCAAGACCATTCAATTTCTGGTCAAGAATGGCTGAATGAGACTCCAGATTGCTCATGTATGCCTGATACTTTTGAACATCTGCTTGCAAGGAAGCTTTCAGCTTTCTCAATGACTCTAAACGATTCTTTAAGAGAAAAGAATATTAAATTAGTTTCTCTCATCAATGATCATTCCATACTTTGAAAGTAAAGCAGTAATATTTAAATTTATCTTAGAGAAAGGTCAATTACAGTTTTCCTTTCACCTTTAGAAAGAGTCAAAAAAATAAAAGGGAACTTAAACCAACGGCCAGGGTAGAAAAGTACAAACATCTTCAATCGATTATTTTACAGAACAGTCTGGGTGCTTCAGTAACATAACACACAAAATAAAATTAGACATATCACTATTATCATTTAGCTTTTAGAAAATCCTCAGGATACCATATATTACATAAACCCACTTATTACCTTTCCTTTTTCACTAACTACAAAACTCAGGGTCTCTTGTGAATAATACTCCCTGAAGGTATATAACATGGGGAGGACCTTGTACAAAAGATACTTTTGGTCTTATGTAAAGAGGGAAGAATCTTTCATCATATTTTGAGCACCATTAGTCTAAGACTGAGAAACCACAAGGGAAAACAAAGCTCCACAAATACCACACATGTTTTCATAGGGAGTTCTGTCCTATGTAAAAAAATTTAACCTCTATGAAATACTTAATTTGTTCATCTATTTAAAAAAAAAAAAATAAAATAAAATAAAAATAGTTGGTACTCTCTGAGGAGGTCCAAGAATCTCAAAGAGCCCTCAGATGTATATGCCTATTGAAGACAAGCATGTTTACCAACCGGTTCTTTTTCTCTCTCTCGCTCCAATCTTGCAATCTGCTCATTCAATGCTTTGTTTTTTGCTGCTAATGATTCCAGCTTGGAAGCATCTACATTAAATAAATCCTCTGGAGACAAAACCAAAAGACTCTGTAAGACCTCAAACCTGCCCGGCACATCCTTCCCCAGGGTTTCACCATTGCTTGCTCCCTCACTTCCTTACATTCTACCCTCAGTAAATTAGCAAACCCTTCCCTTCATTCCACTGCACTCTCCATGCCCCTTACCCTGCTTTATTTTTCTCCATAGCACTTATCACCATTTGACTTACAGTTATTCATTCTGATTATCATCTTTCTGTCTACTAGAAAGTAAGTTCATAAGGGCAGGAAATTTTATCTTTTATTCACAACTATATCCTCAGTGACTAAATGGTAGGTAGCACACAGTAGGGATACAATAAACAGTTTGAATAAATGAATGCAATTTGTATGCTTAATTACATACAGAAATACTAAACACCTTACTAGATTACTTTCTCTATCAGGTCTACTACAAATATTTCTCTTTGGGAACAAAACAAAACAAAACACCCCATCGTTTACCTTGCTCCCTTTCCCATGTGGACAAACTGAAATTGTTCTGGTTACTCTTCAGGAAGGTATAATCCCAGAGGGAACATAAAGTTAAGCTTTCTTTTGCCTTTTGCGCTAATAGTGTCAAGATTATATTCTCCTGTTTTGCCTCTACTTTACCTACCATTCTGGCATTTTATACACTAGGCTCTGCAGTAGAAAGAATAACAATGTAAAATAATACCCCTGGAACATTTTAGAGTTGTCCAGTAAATACTGAATGCCACTAGATTATAGCTGAGTGAAATAAACAAAGAATTTCCTCATTTGGACGATTAACTTTCTGCTACAAATTTTGAGAGATATTAGGTCTTTTGACTAATTGGTGCTATAGATTAACAATAATAAAGCAGGGCTATCACAAGGAAACTATTCTCCAAGAGAAATAACATCCGCCGATTATCATCTGTGCTCCTGGTAGTGTGTCTGGTACTTTACATACATTGCCATTTAATCTTGTAAAACTTTGTTAGCTAGGTTAAGTGTCTTGTTAAGGGATTATGCCTCAGTATTCTTTCTGCGTATTCTCTCCACCAAAGAAACCCGAAGATAAAAACCAGCAGCCATCAAAACGCATTTAAAGTAAATGGCTTAAATAAACACAGCCTGGGTTAAGATAAGCTACAATTTGATAAGAAAGGTTAATTTAAATGACCAAAAGCAAACACATCAGGAACAAAGAACACTTACTAAGCCTTGACTGCAGCTCTGTGTTCATCTCTTCAAAGCTGTCTGCACCAGTCATAAAACTCTCATAGCATTTTATGGTGTAGTCCAAAAATAACTAATAGAGTTAAGCAGATTTTAAAAACAAAGTCATGATTTTTCTGTTTAGTTTGTTTGGCTTTGTAAGTAATAATTTAAATTTGAATTAAATAACTGAACATCAAGAATACTAAGTTATAATACTGAAGAGTTATAAATAAAAAATGCAAATCTAGGGTATATCATTAATTATATGGTATAGACTCTCATAGTACCCCACTACTTCTAATATGAATAGTGAGTATGAAAATAATACTTAAATTTGGATAAAGATGATATACAATAGACAGGTTGCTATACCTGTGGAATTTTGGGAAGGTTCAAGAAGCTTATTAATAATATAATTAAACATAAAGTACACAAACTTAATCATTTTAAGGAATAATATGCCTTGAGAAAAATGTAAGTGAATTGCTGATCATCTAATTAAATTGACAAAATCTAGTTATCAAAACCAGAATGTAATTAATCAAGTCTGTAATTATATTGTAACTTCAGTCTAAAAAGTGTCATGGTAAGTGGAGATCTAAAAAAAGAATTATAATTTATTAATATTTATCTAAGAGAAAGTAGCACTATACTTTGTAGACATGAGATGTTTTGGTCACTGTGGATGCATACTTTATTAGGAGGCAAGGATGGCTGATCAGTATTTTCCACAGCCTGGATGAAGTAATATCCCGAAAGACAAATCTATTCCCTTTGCACCGATTCTCTGCTTACTAAGCAAACTTCTTATTGCTTAGCTCATATGGAAGGGGTACTGTGAACAGGCATTATGAATATTCCTGTAACTGGGAAGGTGTACCACTTGTGGTAAATTAATAACTCTTCTTTCTACTTCACAGATCAATCTCATGTGAATTTGGTGAGAGTGAATCAGTTTCCTTAATAATCTTGGTCAATTCTGACCTTATAGATCAAAAAAATATTGGCTTTCTGGATCCACAAAACTGAGGATTAGAATTTTCCTATAGTGAAGCTGGATACTCTGATAATGCTCTTTAAAAATAGCACTCTATAGTTTCCAAAGTGCTTCTTCTATATATTGTTATTTAAAACAACAGCTAAAATAGCAAGAACAAATTTTACTGCTTTTGCCTTTAGGTTGAATGTCAAGAAATTAAATACTTATTAGGTGTTCTTATAATTGTACTTGGGTGAAACTTAGGTGCAACTTAATTTAGTCCAGTATCGTAACATGGGAGGAGAATTCTCGCAAGGGTAGGATCAAAGGCCAAAGGCTGTCTAGCAGCCTCTCTAGCAGGGATAATTCCCGAAGCGGTAAAGGGGCATGTTTATTCTTTGTATTTAAAAAAAAAAAAAGCACAATGATACTATGTATGTCTGTGAACTATTTCCCAGGCAGGCGGGGTGGTCATAGACTATGAGGCTGAAGTTATGCACACTTCCGTTTTGTGACCAACGTACCAAAGAGTTAAGGTTAAGGTTAAAATTAGAGCAAAGAATAGTGTTTCTTTTAGGAGCCTTCATGGTGGTTGGTCTTTTATGTATGTGAGGGGATATTAATATACAATCTCAGCATTTTAAATTTATTTCTTGGAGTTGCTGTTTTGCTCCATTTGGATTATATATTTGAGTGTTTCAGGAAATAGGGTGGGGTTAGTTGTTGGTTATACAGTTTAGCCTCCAATAAAGTTTGATGTGGAACCAATTCAGACAGTTTTCTCTACCTCAGCCACTTTAGGAAGTGCTAACGCTGACCACAGTGGCACTATGCCTAACTAAAATGGCCAAAACAAGATAAAACAAATAGAAAACCCATATGCAGCATTTTAAGACCCAATCTATTATTCTTTATATTGACAGGATAATGTTAAAATTACAGTCCCAGTATTGATATCTTCATTCTTAAAGATAAGGGAGGAAAAGAAATGTTGTATTTATAACATACAATAATAACATATCACGATTTAATTCCAACCTTGCATTTTTACTAAGTTAACATTTTTAAATTTCTGCTTCTAGTTACTTAGGAAACTACAATGTGACTCCAACATTAGAGCCATTGATTAATATTTGTGAAAATAAATTTTAGTAGTTTCTCAGGAAGCAAAAAGACAAGCTCTACAAAAGGATGTATATTAATAGCGACACATTTGGTTGCTTAACAACGCTAAGATAACTTATCATAGTTTGTGATAAAGTATGGTACCTTATTATGCATAATTCCATCTTCAGTTTCTTCTCCCCAAGGCTGTCCATCATCAAATGAAGGTGAGCTTTCTTTCATGGCAGTGTATAACTAATTAGTACACAAGTAACATGTGAAGTTGATCTTTAGCTCTAAGACACATAGCTTTCATGTTCTGTCAAATTTGTTTTTCATATCATTTTTAGAAGCATTTACATTATCACATGATAAAAATTGTCTTTTGAGAGTTATATTGATCCTTTTGATGTTTTAGTAAACGAATCCTGTTTAATTAAGAAAGGATGGATTCCATATTTAGTTCTGTTCTAAACAGAAAAATATGCTGACCTGTGTTATTAATCCATGGAGAGCAGATGTACACATTTTAATGCAATTCTGAGAATCCAAAACAGAATTGTCACATAAAAAGTGAAACTTTAACAATTGTTTCCCTTTTATGTGAACTAAATTTTGGGCTCAAATTTTATCAACTGACTTTTTCAATATGTACAAATGTAAATTGAGACTAAATGTTACAAAAAATCTTCTAAAAATACTACAGGGTACTTGTTTAAGCTTGAAAGTGATAACAGATGACATGCTATAGCAAAACATTCAGATAATGCTTATAATTGACAAGCTAAAAGGAAAATGGTTATAGGTTTTTTAAGGGACAGAAATCTCATTTTGGAACATCTGTTTTTTATACTTGTTTTAAACAATATAATCTTTCAAACATGAAAAAAATTTAGAAAATTTAAAGAAAACTGCTATAAAGTATAAAGATATAAGCGTGTATCTAGTAAAATGAACCCTAAGCTTCTAAGAAAAGGACTATGCATTAGATGTACATAAAAGAAGAATGTAGATCCTGTTGAAAACATTTAATTGAATTTTCTTATCCTGGGTCTCATATCTAGGATTCGTGAGGGGCAACACTGTCCTTAGCCCAGAGCTGCTTGCCCTCCAACCCTTTTCTATTCCAAAGCCACTCATGGGGCTTTCTGTACACCCAGGCAGGAATGCAGGGAAGCTCTATTACCCTCTACCCGTTCCTCCATAGATAGAGCCATAGGTGACAGTCAGATTTAATTAAGACTAAAAGACATACAGGGCAGAGCCTAAGGTGAAGAACAGAATCCTCTACCTGGTCATCAGCGTAGACGAAGACAGAATTTCTACTGCCTTGTCAAAGGTCCTTATAAAACATTTAGTACTCTGCAAGGTTCAAGAAGAACCTTACACAGGGACAGATAAGAAGGAGCTACTGAAAAGACACTACTGCAAGGACTGGAAAGTTCTTCTGAACTTAGGAGATTTGGTCAAAATAGTTTTCAACTTGAAATTGTACAGAGATAAATAGAGATATGGATTTGAGTAATCTTTTTTTAGCTAAAGGTACCGTTTTCCACTATTATGCCACATTAAGAGGAAAATACAATATCTCAATAGATCCTGCAAAAGCATATGATAATCTTCAATTATTATTCTTGATAAAAACTAGAAATAGGCCAGTAAACTTCAACATGAAAAACATTGTCTTCTATCTGAACACACGATAACTAGTTGATAAAATAGAAAATATTTCATTTGATAACACCAACAAAAAAACAACCCATTGCCGACTCATAGCTACCCTACAGGACAGAGTAGAACTGCCCTATAGTTTCGAAGGAGCAGCTGGTGGATTCGAACTGCTGACCTTTTGGTTAGCAGCCATAGCACTTAACCACTATGTCACCAGGGTTTCCATTAAAAAAAAAGAAAAATCAACTGAGAACAGTTATAATAATAAAGCAATTGAATAAGGGTAGTAAATACAAAAAACACATAACTCTTTTAGCAGTAATAACTTTAGAAAATACAATGAAAAGAAAAAACGAAAGCCTGTTCACAATACTAACAAAATACATGGAATTAGGAGTTAACGTAATAGAAAATATGCAGCTCAACATGAAAGCTACATTTCACTGAAAGAACAAAAGAGACATGAACAAATGAGACATTTATCACTTTCTCAAATGAGAAGACTAAATATTGTCAAGGTGGCAATTTTCCCCCAATAAATTTATGAATTCAATGTGATACCAAAAAAAAAAAAAAAACACAAGATATCTTTTGGAATCTGGAAAAAAAAATTTAAAGTGTGAGAATATGAGGTCATGAGAATAACCAGGAAAGTTATGAAAAATGTTATAAACCTTCCTCTACTAGGTAAAAATCTCTTATAAAGCTATAGGAATAGAATGATCACAATGCAGGAGTAGAACATACCAGTAACAATTCAAAACTGTGGAGAAAAGATGATTATTAAATAAATAGTATTGAGTGAGTCTTTCAAAAAATAAGGCTTTCTCCTTCTTACACTGGAATAAATTTCAGATGGATCAAGATTTAAATACACACAAATAAGCCATAAAAAATACTAAAAAAAAAAAGTCAGAAGAATTTTTCTCCCCCAGCATCAGGGAGTAAAGGAGCCCTTTCCTAAGTGTGGCTAAATTTCCAGGATAATGTTAAGTGGGAAAGATAATTAGAACAAGAAACCTCAGTCTCTCACTGTTTCTTACATTGCTATAGTGTTCAGCAAACAATCTTGAGCAAATCAACACAGCAAGGAGGGATTTCAATACAGACAGTGGACTTGGAAGCATTTCCAGAGGTCCCTCCCCAACAGAAGCCACAGCAGCTGGTCCACAACCTCCTGTATCACTGTGGAAATGTTATCTCCCAACTACATAACAATGACATAAGCTGCTCAGGCAAACAAGGGTGAAGGTGTCTAGTGACAACAGGGGTATTTGATGGTGAGAGCAGAGAGAATATTACTTGATTTCCATGGGCATTGCTAGGGAGAGACAAATTCAATGCATGAGTGCTATAAAGTCCAATAAAACTTGAGTTTCATTAATGGACTATGATACTGGATTTCTACTCCTATCTTGACAACTGGTGGTAGTGAATGTACTATCATGGCTCCTGGATCAAAATCCATCCTCCAGTACCCAGTACCTGCCTACATTTAGTTAAGGGCTTGCTGACAGCCAAGAGAATGTCAGGGAGACAGTACTAGTTTTAAAGATTCTGGCACTAAATGAGACAGAAAACTCAGAAGCAGTGAAAGGAAGAGACTGCACTAAAAGAGATAAATTCAACATTTCTGAACAGTCAAAAAATAGGACATAAAATCAAAAGAAAAAGAGGGAAAAATATTTGCACCATATATACAGGGGCTAATTTCTCTAACTAAAACATTTTTGACTTATGAAACAGTGCTCTTACAAATCAGTAAGAAAAAAGGCAATAAGACTTGAGTAGGCAGCTATAATAAATGTGAAAGAATGTTCAACTTTAAAAACAAAACAAAACAAAAAACGCAAATATGAAAAAATTAGCTCTTGTTTTTTTGCTTGCCACATTTTCAGCTATTAAAAACATTAATATGCTTAATATATAAAGACCTCAACATATAAGGGTACAAGTTAATAGGCGAAAGCAAATAATCCAATATAAAATAGGCCAAAAAAGCACATACAACCAGGTTGGAAGAAATCAAATGATAAACCATGTAAAATGCTCAATATTACATATATATATGTAATATATATATAT